AAATATAAGATTTATCTTATGTCAGTGTGTAAAACTGAACTATTTTCTAAACAAACCAGAACCTAACAATGTCTGTGAATTATCACCCTTTACAACTCTTTTTCAACAGTTGAATGAATCTAAATAAGTGAACATTTTTCTGATAATAATTGTAATTGTTTTATGAGCCAATAGCATTGTAATCAGAACTTGTTATCTTGCCTAAGTGTTTGGTGCACAAAGGAAAATTTTGTGCAAGCTTCTTTAGTAAATTTTGTATTATGCACTATCATTATTTTTATGCCATTTAATAAATGTAAATTTCTTTCAAACTTCACATTGGAGTAAAAGCATCTTTTGTTTTTGGTTTGTGCCATTCATAATACGCAGGACAAGAAATTTGACATTCTCTCTTCAACTTTTCTCCCTAAAATGCTTTTTATATGATTTAACATTACAAGAGTTAGATTAGACCAAAAATGAAGCATTGCTGCTATATCTGGGCTATATCACGCACCCACAACAGAAATATATTTGAGAGAGTAATGATGCTATTTTAATTGTTAGCACCAGGGGAATTGCTAGATTAAAAACTATACTTCTTTTGCAGCCACATTTACTACTGAGCCACCTGCTCTCTTTTCATCAGTGAAGCTGGTTTACCAAAGCTTGATATCAAAATTGACCTTAAAAGATTTAAATCTTAATTCAAAGAAAAAGAAAAAAGGAATATATTTGAGGCATTTGCTTGATATCAAAATTGATCATAAAAGATTTAAAAGTTTAAAAAAAAAAAGAGAACACATTCAAGGCAATTACTTTTGGTTTAGGATTATTAGGTTTAAAGGGGTGGATCGGGGGTGCATAGAGAGTGCACACTCTCACTAAAATTTCCGAGAAAATATTTTTTGTTGCAAAGGTAAGTTATAATGAGTGAAAACAGATTTAATGCACTTGTTCTTTTGTATGTTCATAAATACATTAGGTAAGACGATGATAAAATCATGAACCTCAATGCAAATAAGAATCCATGAAAACTGACTTTAGTAAATCCTCTTTCAAAAATGCTACATAATCACACTTTGAATCTAAAACTTTGAATTTACAATTTTATATATCAAATAAATAAAAGAAAATGCAAATTTAAAATTTATATATATATATATATATATATATATATATATATATATATGGTGAACTCTCCCATAATATTTGATATATGAGAGTCAAGCAGCTCAGTTCCTAGGAACTGACAGCCAGACACCAGCATATATGATTTGATTATAGTGGTGAAGACTTTGTGCTGAACCAACCACACTTTTTGAAGGGCTGAATACAGAGACCTGGTGCACTACATGTGACAAGGTCCCCAAACAACCCTTCACAGGTCTGGAATTCGGAGTTGTCCTAAACCAGTTGCCATCCAAAGCTATAGAACCCAGTCTGTCCTGCTATTTACCCATAGCTGGAGGAAGAGGAGGATTCATACTCATAGGAATTTGGATTTTGAATTTGAATTTTTCTATCCATATCTCATATATATATATATATATATATATATATATATATATATATATATATATATTATTTAATTTCTGTAACCAACACAGAATTTAAAATTTTTAAAGATTTTTTTTATTCTAATGAAAAGGTTTTATGAATAGAATATGATTATTTAATGCCAAAAAATCACAATAGGTTTTTTTATGATAAAGGTTTTTAGATCAGGTTTCATTGACATATTTTTGTAAAGAGGGTTTTTGTCGAGAGTCAAATCTATGGATGATCATATATTTTTTTAAAAAATGTGTTGCTGGTAATCTTTTTTTTTTCCAAAATGTGTTGTTGGTATTTCTACTATAAAAATCTATTTTTATACTTTCATAATGTTTTGACCACAGTTTGGGAGTTTACTATTTGCCCATAGCTGGGACCCTAACAGGTGCTACCATCCTGGGTCAGGGTGGACTTGAGATCAACAGCAATTAAAGGTGGTTCTGCGCTCCTCAAAACCTCCCAATCAGAGGCCTTGCTGCTGGATGTAGTTTGTTGTCTTACACTTGATGACAATTACTTTTGAAAGTTTATGTATAAAATTGTTTCCAATATTGATGACTATCTCTTAAGTTGTTTAACAGAGACTAAGTTGGATAAACTTCCAAAAGTACATTATCTTATAACTCCAAACCCCCATGCTGGTGGGAGCAGGGTGCTGATTGTGGGCCCCAGACAGTGTTTTATGATTCTTGCTATCTTATAAACATTTGCTTTTTTTCTACCTACATTACAAATTAAACTAAGTACAACTGACAATTAAAAGATGAAAATTTTTTGCAGATTTTGATGCGATTCTGGGGTCTGTTCCCAAGTGGTCACCCATCTAGGTACTGACCAGGCTTGATGTTACTTAACTTCAGTTATCATACAAGAAGCGGTGTTTCAATGTGCAATTACCATAAGCCCATTACACCACATGACCATCCAAACTTAAAGCAGCTGGTATTCCCAAGTGGTCAATCATCTAGGTACTGACTAGGCTTGATATTGCTTAACTTCAGTTATCATACAAGAAGCTGTGTTTCAATGTGCAATTACCATAAGCCCATCCAAGCTTACAGCACTTAGTATTCCCAAGCTGTCACTCATCTAGATACTGAGCAGGATCGACATTGCTTAACTTCATACAGGAACTGGTGTTTCAGTGTGCTATGGCCATAATCCTGGTACCACATGAACATATTCTTTTATGAAATTATGGCAACACTATTTAAAATTTTAAAGTTCATGACCTCAGACTAACAGAAAACATACTTTAAATGTCCTTTACATTTTTTTAATTCAGAAAAAAAATGATAAAATATGATATAATGGCATCAAAATCATAAAACATTCTTAGATAAAATATTTGTTTAGCATATGAATATCAATAAAATACTCTATGATGAGACAAATATTTTTAATAATCTTTGAAATTTTTCATTGAGAAGTCATGAATACATAATGGCTACACAAGAAGTTGGTTTCAATCTATAAGGATCATTGCAAAAGCATCCTCCCCTCCAAATTTATAGACAAATCATATAGATACATGCTGGGATTTCATTGTAGCCAATAATATAGACGACTTTATAGTTTCATCCCCCATATTTTTTCTTCTTTCTTGTTTTGAAGTCAAAATTCTACAATCACTTGTCTGTATCCCTTTTGTGCATTAACACAATTCTTACTTTATTAACTTTTTGCCCTATTACTGTTTCATTATCTAGTTTTGACTTGCATATATATATATATATATATATATATATATATTTGCTTAGTATCTGCCCTGTATTTTTTTTCTTTCTTTTGTTATTGTTTATTGGAAACATTATCATTTCAGTTTGTTGGGTATTTACAGTTAACCACAGCCAATTACTCTACATATTTGAATAAATTCTTGCATGACTTCTGCACCTCTCACCTGTGGAACTCCCTTCCCTTTTCCTGTTTCCCTGATAGCTATAATCTCCAACTATTCAAATGTAATGTCAATAGACATCTCCAGTTGCCTTGATCTATGCACTATCCTTCTCTTCATCCTTTCCTCTATCACTCCTATCTGCTCTCGCTCCAAATCCTATGTAAACCCTTGCATGCTAATGGCTTGCTTGGGGTGAAATGCTTATAAAAAAAAAAGAAGATAAATATTGGTCATTTACTTGGTTAGAGGATAGCTAAATATTGGTCATTTATATCTGAGTCTAAAAGTGTTTAAAAAAAAAAGATAACACTTACTTATTACTTAATATGAGTAGAATTCTTAGTCTTGTCCGTTACACTTAAATAGTGATAAGAGAATCATGAATGTCATTTGAGGCTGTGAAATGTTTCACTTGTATTTGTACTGCCATCATTTCAAGGTCTTATCAGATGATCAACCTTTGAAAATCCTATATCACTATTCAGCATGACTATTACCATATATCTTATGATGACAGTTGCAAATGCAAAGATATTCATCTACAATTAGGTGTATATCCATGGACATTCAACTGATATATTGCCAATTAGAGCTATTACAAATTGCTGAACAAGATGCCAGTGTTTCCATTGGAGCATATCTCAATCAGGTTACTGCCAAAGTCATCACAAATGTTGTATATTCTTATAATAAGTTTTTCAAGATTCTTCAGCTGATACCATGATTCCGGAAATGGTTCAAGGCAATAAGAACAATGCATGGCTTAAGAATGACTGGATACAGATTTATGTGAGAATACTAATGAATTTATATACAAAACTGACCAGCTTTTAAGGAAGTATTTGTCCTGTCATCCAAAAATCTCTGAAACAATAAATATTTCAACTGGCCTATGAATAACAAAACAATCTTGCTCCCTTATAGTAGATTTCTCAATAACTATAATAGAATAATTAGTCTTACTCACCTATCATGAAATGACTTTAACATTAAATATATATATATATATATATATATATATATATATAAAAGTTGTAGCCTCTGTCTGCCTGTTTGTTATCAAACTCCTCTTATGGTTTTGGAAATAGACCCCTATAACTATATATATTCTGAAACCATTACCCAGGGTACTTGGATAAGTATATTTCATTTTGATGAAAGGCGGTCCTAAGCGTGTACCTGCCACTGAAAATTTTTTCTCTTTGATTTAAATTAAATTTAAATTTGAACAAGAGAATGACTCCAAGATATAGAAGGAGAAAGCCAGAAGATGGAGGTCACATCAGCAAGATCGTTGAGTAATATTGAAATGCATCATTTTTCTCCACAAATTATAACTGATTTAAAATCAATTTTCTTATAAAAAAATGTGTGACCCGCAGCAAGACGTGGGTAATTCAGCTAGTGCAAAATAAAATGTATCTATTTCATTTAAAATTGAGTCTTTTATCATTTGTGTTGAACTATGGTCAATCACAAGAATTATGAAAGCCTGTAAATGACAAAAAAAAAAAAGCCATCTTAACAATGTAAGAAGTGATTGACTGTTCAAAGTACTTACCTTATATGGGCTAATATCCGTATCGGACGGGAAAGCTAAGAGCCCCATACTCTTTTGTACATCAGCCATTTGGTCATCTTCTAAGTTTGTGAAGTATTTTCTTGCATGCCTGAAAGAAAACAAAACACAATTACATAAGCAAAATAATGAAAGAAACAGCATCAAAATCCATCATCTGAACTGAAATCAACCATTATTATTATTATTATTATTATTATTATTATTATTATTAACTTTTGACTCCTCTTCTTTCTTATCTTATTTCTATTGTTTTTATAGAAACTTGCAGATTAATATGTTATGACCATTAAAATCAATGTCATGGATCCGAAATAAAGAACAGCCCCTGCTCCATTTCATATCCTTAGGAGCATGTCTTTCCATGATTGTACAGTCTCAAATTTGGCTGAGATGATTTGTTTACGTATGAAATCTCAAAGACTATAAATAGCTACAAGTATTATCCATGAGGCAATTGAGTGCATACTACTTTCCACGAGTCAGCAACACTACACTACAAAGGCTTTATCACCAGTTGGTATTGTTCAAATAAACCATATTGCTATGTCTTTTACTTCTTTGATACTCTGCTGGTTGGTTTGTCAGTCAGTGGTTATTTGCATTTGTACTAATATTATTTTTTTTATATTAGAATCCAGCAGTACATTGGCCACCACAAAGACCTTCTCATTACAGTGAAGAAGAGAAAGCTGAAATGGTATGGCCATGTAACACGGTCGGATGGCCTTGCAAAGACAGTTTTTCAAGGAACAGTGGTGGGATGCATGAGGAGGGAAAGACAGAAAAAAAAGTGAAATGGCAATATTGAGGAATGGATGAAGAAACCATTCAGAGAGACCCAGGCTCTGTCACATGACCGTTACAGATGGAGGAGATTCATGGATAGCTCAGCCCCAATGACTCATTCTGGGGTTAAGAGTGAAAGAAGAAGAATAATATTAGAATTTGGTACTGCCATGAGATCGCTTAAAAAGAGCACAGCATGACGAAAAAGACGCCAAACTTGACAAAAACAAAACTTTATCATCTAAATGTTTATGTTATTATTAAGAGGAAAGATCAAAGTATTTTGGGGTATTTTTTTACATTTTTTAATCATTCCTAGCACGTCCAAAATTTTGTTTAAAATCTTGTTTTTTTGAGTCAGAAAAATTGACAGATAATCAATCATGTGAACCATTTTTTTCCATTTTATAAAAAAGATGGAAATCTCAGTTTGAAATTTTTTTTAAAATCAATTATAATTTTTTTAAAACTTATTTTAAGAAAATCAGAAATTATAATGTTTATTTAAAATATATTGAAACAAGATTAACTTAGTTTCTGCACCGAAAAGATGTAATTTGAAAACAAAACAAAGCAAGTCATAACTTTTCGCATCACTTGACAGGTGACGAAAGACATTTTCATGACGTATTGATAGCTTACATGAGGATAATTTATTCTGCAGAAGGAGAGAAGTGAAATTATTTAGATTTAAGTGATCAAATTATTTACCTCGTTATTTTTAAGGAAAACTTTCAGCGCTCTATTTTTTTTGTACTTATCTTTCACCTTTATGTTTACGATGCTTTATGGAAAATATATTATAAAGAAATTGAAATAAGACAGCTCACTGAAAACCGTAAAACAACTTCACAAAATTGAAATTGCAATGAAATATGTAAATGAAATAAATGGTACTTTTAAAAATATAGTAATGTTGCTGCTGAAAATGGCTTAGGATAGTGTTCAAATTTTTTTAATTTGTAAAAACGCTAATTCAAAATGCTCAACATGTGTTTCGCGTGAAGAATTTGCAATAATGAAATGGAAGTTCAGCAGAGAATGCTTACACTCAAGCCACACATTTTATTGCTTGTGACCTTCCATACTTTTTAATTACATCCATTTTAATGATTTTTATGAACACAAAATTACATCTCTTAATTACTGCGGGTTTTCTGATTGGACAAAGTGATACAATTTACAAAGCGCTAAAAAATGATCTATCTCATAAGGACATTTATGAAAGTGAATGCAGCTTTCAACTAATTTTATAATATCTTAACAACTTAAATGTAAAAATCTAAAATAATTAAAGAAATAACAAATAATTGTATTAAAAATTCATTTTTCATTGAAAAAATTTTGCTTTCAGAAAATATTGTCCATATTCATAAAAAAACTGAAAGCAAATAAAAGCATTTGAAATTAAATTTTATTAATTTTTATTTTATTGAGTTTTGTATGTTACAATTTCAGAGCTGATTTTCAGGTAGAGGGGTCCAATTAAAAAAAAAAACATGATTTGCTTTCCTCAAAGCCTTGTGCTTTTAACTAATATAATCACTAAACTGAACGCGACTGAATTTCTAGTGTTTTCATAAAATTAGTTATTGGGGAGGGGGTAATAAATATAAAATAAAATATTTCTGCCATGACTTTAATTAAAAAAAAAAAAACATATTTATAATAATTTCGATCATCTGTGAATAGCTTCTTAAGGTTTCATTAACATCTGACAATTATTTTTATTTTTGTAAGATTTTCCAAATTAATGTGTGTCATACAAAAAAAACATGCTAAAAATTGTATATGTTATTTTACTAGTTCTGGTGATACAAAGAGAAACAAGGTTTTTTAATCAAAATCTAGAATGTTCTAAAAAGAAGGAAAAATTTTTTAAAATAATTAAAAAAAACTCTGGTCTTTCCTCATAATAATAGCATAAAAATTTAGATGATAAAATTTTGTTTTCATCAAGTTTGGCATCTTTTTCATCATGCTATGTTCTTTTTTTAGCGATCTCATGGAGGTACCGATTAGAATTCACTCAATACAAGGCAGAGGTTTACTGTTAAAAGGGTAATGAAGTTTCAACAATTTTCTTACATGAAGCATTCTTAATATCAGTAATGTTTGACTAGGCTTTTCTTTCAATTTATTTCTGTTGCTTTTTATTAAAACTGTCAGATCATTATTCCACAACAGTTAAAATTGAATCTAAGTCTATACTAACTGGTACAGGGTTGATTTGTTTTGTTGTTTAACATCAAATCAACTCCTTATGGGTCATTTAATGCTGAAATTTATTTTCTAGAGAGCTTTGAAGTAATAAAAATATGATATACTAGCAGTAGAGCCCGGTGTTGCTCTGGGATGTAACAGTAAGAGATAGATTAAGTATCGACCATCATAAAGACTGAAAAATAAAATTGACAAAGATTATTATTTAAGGTTGACGCACACGCATGTCTTAATTAGTTTTTTTTTATGAATTGGTCAAACCCAAACTCAAACAAAAACATTGTTTTCAATCGTTATGAGTCTCCTGATTGAATAGAATAAACAATTGTCTTGTAAATGGAATTTTTAAAGCATTCTGAATGTAAAAATAAAGAAAAAAGTGTGCAAGACAATAAGAAACACTACCTGCCAAAAAAAAAAAGTGAAGTTTTGTTGAAATTGGTTGAAAAATGTAGGAAATCCGATCCCATATATAAATGAACACACACAAACAACCTGGATTTTATAATAAGAATAACTCAATATGAGTTGTCCCCCTTTCATTCTGGCGACAGAATTGTGTTTTATTGTGTTTTCAAATTGATTTCTTTAAAAAGCAATTGTGTTTTTCCAATTTTTGGCGCTGTAAGAACCGCTGCAAGGTAATTTTACGTAGTCCTGTGAAGTTTTGTTGAAATCGGTTGAAAAATGTAGGAAATCCGATCCAATATATAAACGTACAGACACACACACACACACAACCTGGGTTTTATAATAAGTAAGATGTTATTCTGCTTTCACAATTCAATACATGGTAGATGATACTCAGCTTTTATGCATATACATATTTGTATGGACATAATTACTGGAGGTGGTAATATGTGTGATTTATTTTGTAGTTTTATTGAAGTTATATTTTAGAATACAGTTCGAGTTCTTTAAGAAATTGTAGTATATTATATGGATTAATGTCATGAAAGAGTTCTTCCATGTTGATTGATTGTCTGGAAGTGGGGTAAGTGGGAAACCAGCAGCACAACAAACAAGAACTGTCAAAGAGCAGATGAGTCAATGGCTTTCCACCCCCAACTACTGGTTAAGTAGCCTCACCAACTGTAATTGGTCAAGCGAGGTGAGTACAGCTACACCCCTGAAGACATGGTCAATCAAGGAGGGGTTCCTCTAACAGATGTGAGTAGGTCCTGAATTTTTTAATGATTTCACCCCAAGCAAGGCAATAAAGCCACTAAGACAAAAGGGGCTACTAAGTGTAAGAGAATATGAGGAAAAAAAAAAGGAAAAAGTTATTATAGTGAGAAAACAATAAAAGAGGAGAAATTAAAAAGCTAAAAAATAACGATTGACATTGCATTTAAATTTTTGAAGATCAAAGAAAACTGATAAGTAAGAAGCTGAAAGAGAGTTCCACAAGCAAGAAGTGTGATAAAAGAAACTGTTAGCATGGAACTTACAGTTACATCTATTTCAACTGTTATATATATATATATATATGAAAAAATATAGTTTTAAGTTGTGCTATATTTATGGGCTAAAGTGATCAATATCAGGGATAGAGTAAAGATAAATATAAAAATGGACATTGAAGTCAACACTCAGTCAGACTGTTTCATGCTAGATGCATGTGGTCTGATGATTGCGTCTAACATGAAACAATCTGTCACCTCTGAGTGTTGACTTCAGTGTTCACTTTTATATTTATACACACACCACACATATATACATATCTATATACACATATATTATGAAAAGAAGGTCCTAGTCATAACCTGAGTTTCACGATGAGATGATCAAGTCATCTGAAGATCACATGAGCATGAGATATGGGTTATGACTAGGGCCATCCTTTCATAGTATTTAATGTTGTGAAGACAATAAAGCCACTAAGACACAAGGGGTTACTGAGTACAAAAGATAGCATAGAACTTATGGTTACATCTAGCCATTTCAACTGTAAAATGATGAGACCTAGCTGCCAATCTAGTACTGTGCTTAAATCCCTAAAGTCAAGGCACCAAAAAGGAACACACATCAGAATAATTACCTTGAAAATATTTATAGAAAAGGCAGAGGGAAGCTATA